TTACTATAGTGTAACATTGTTTATGGACGGTAAAAACTGCAGGGGACCAAAACGGCCTTTTGAAAAAGTGCAGGGGACATGTCCCCTGTGTCCCCCCACCCAAATTACGTCCGTGTGTGGTTCTGTTAAGAAAGTAATTTTGCTGCTCATATTTAAACCCTCACAATATATTTGTCTGTGATTTAACAAAATGAAGGTTTTGAGTACAGAAAAGTCACTGAAATCTTGTTATTCTGTGCTGTATGTGGACTGAAAATGGATTTGATGTTTAAGTATTTTAATAAAATCTAAATTTTCTAAATCTACATCTCTAAAATGTGATGTATTCTCAGTAATGCAGTGACTGTGTGCTGCAGGTTTGTAACAGCAGGTGCACAATATGGCCACTGGAGGTCCTGCTTCCCTCAGATTGACATAAGAAGAGTTGAGTCTGTTTTTGAGAGATCGGAGACTGAAACGCTGCAGCAGGAACTCAGCTCAGTCGTAGTTTAAATCAATGAGCAATGGATCACTGTGCTCCACTTTCACATTACCTGTAGCTCAGGAAGCATCTCCAGCACTGGGAGCTGACTGTCTGTTTCGGACTATCATCTGTCAGAGGTAAGTTTGACCTCTTCTTGTCGTGAAAAAAACGATTTCAGTTGCAGCCAAATTAGTTTGCAATAACTAGAAATTGTTTTAGTTTTAGACTTTTTCACTGAATCCTGGAACAAACCAGCTAAATTAGTTTGTCTAACGTTTAATGGTCTAAAAGTCTTCAGGGTGTACAACCAGACATATTAAGAAACCTTTTACTGAAGATAATATAACAATTCTTCTGTATTTGTGTCCTTATAATAAAGTTATATGTCTGCATCATTGACTAAACTAGAAAATACGTTTAAATCCACTTAATGAACTGAACTTAGACTCTTTGTATAAACATTTCTAAAGCACAGGTGATATGTTTCTTCCTGTTCCATTTTTCACTATTTATTTATAAGGGAAGTTGTTATATGTGTCACTTTTTATGATTTCCATGTGAGAAACCTGGTAAGAGAAAGATTTACATCCACAAAACTTCATGAAAAAGCCATTTTAAATATCTATTAAATAACATACAGGTGGGAAAGGTTTTTTTTTTATTACAATCTGTTAAAGAAATCTCACGTAACATCTGCATCCTGGGACTGAACCAGCTGTGGTGGTGAAAATGTTCAGTGCACATCTGGATGTAAAGCAGATTTTTTTAGGATTTTAAGTCACCCAGCCTGGTTTCTTGGTGAGACGTTAAGATCTTCTGCATAAACGTGTATCCCTTCCACCAAAATACACTCAATTAACCTAATAAATCACCACAATCTGGAAGGTTATTATCTGCTGGAGGTTCTCATTGATTGAATCTGATTTTTTTTGTGTGTCCCGCTGTCAGACATCAGTGGTGTTTTTGTCGTGGAAAAGTGATTTAAGTGTTGCCCAACAGGAGCATGCTGCATGTTTGAAGCCAGATGTTTGGCACTGTAAAAAGAGCAAATATAGGCCCATAAAGCTCCGAGGTCTGGACCTGGTCTGTCTTGTGGTTTAGGTGGGTTTCTCTTTTCCCAGCAAGTCCACTTCACTTCACTCGAGTCTGATCAAAGCCCTGGTGTTTCCACCTTTTTGTCCTGGATGTGGAGAATATTTACAGAAGAACACACAGAAGCTTTGACACAATGTGATGTTCACACCAAGTCGTGCTCACCTGAATGACTAATGTCTCCTCACCACTCCCTTGCATCATCATGTAACGACTGTAATTTCCTTGAGGTTGGATTTCAGGTATCGATTTTGAAATCTTGAGGTTTTTGGCGTTGTCTAGACATCAAAGTGGTGGCTTGTGTTGCTGCCTGATGATTATGTGTTTACCAGGGGCAGGATGCACACTGCCTATTAACATGTAAACACCTCCATTAGGCCCCCAGGTAGTGTTTCTTGAATCAGCAGCAGCTGCTGTTGATGCTAAAACATTGTGTTGCCATGCCGACAACTATCCATGATGCAGGAATGACCCAAAGCGATGGCTGCAGAGAAGTTTGGTTACTTTTTGTGTTCCTCCTTCGCTGCCAAGCAAAGAGCGTAATCCCTGATGATGCTGAGGCGATGCTGTCATTGCTAATGTCATCCTCTGGCTTCATGTTCCCTCATGACAGCAGACGGCGTGCCAGTACGATGCAGCTACAACTGTGCTGACCAACAGCAGCTCAACAAGTCACAACACTGGACAGCTGACGGGTACGTCTGCACCACAGCCTCTCTGTTCACACCGTTCTGTGCTAATTTAGCCTTGTTTTTCCCAATTTGATGCAGCCACAAGCCAGGTTGAGGTTTAGGTTGTGGTCGGAGCCATCTGACTGACATTGTTTGTGTTTGCAGCTGCAGCCTGGATGTGATACTGGGTCAGAGTGTGAGTTGGTAACCCTGCCTGAGTGTGCGATGTGTGGACCTGCCCTGCCTCTGTGTCTGCTGCTCTGGATAGTAGGGACGGCTGTTTCCAGGACACAAGGTACTTTCAGCATCCAAACAGTTTTTGGTTCAATTAATGGACTGTGGTACTCATTTTATAGCCTTCAAGACAAAAAAGTTTCCTTGGTACTGAGAGCTCTGCTGTTTTTGGGGTAGTAACTAAGTGCATTTACTTAAATACTGAACCTAACACTTCTACTCCACTACACTTTTAGAAAGAGATACTGTACTTTTTTACTCCACTATGTTTGTCTGACAGGTATGTGACAATATTTGACATACAAATACAATAAAATGCATTGCAGAAGATTAAACAAGTGGTTTCCAACCTTTTTGGGTTGTGACCTATTACAAAAGACCATCTAGTTGTATCTCCTTGTCACATTTCAGTTGTGTGCACAATAAGTTGTCAATGTTTCTCCTCTAAACTCAGATGGTTTAATTTAGAGTGTTTGAAGCTCAGAGAGGTAAAGTTATTGAATATTTCATATAAATGTAAAATATTAATAAAATGTTGTGGATCAGAACTTGTTTTTTTCTTTTTTCCTTCCTCATTAATCATCTCATGACCCATCAGATTTATCTTATAATAGTAATACTGAAATATGGTGATTATATCACTCACAGGGGCCATTTTTTGCAGAACAAGTACTTTTACTTCTGATCCTTTAAGTATATTTTACTGATAATGCTTCTGTCCTGTTACCCAAGTAGGATTCTGAATGAAGGACTTGTAATGGAGTAATTATAAATTATTATATTGATACTTTTACTAAAGCAAATGATCTCAGCAGGCAGTTATACTACAGCAGGGATGTGGAAATATCCTAATAGACTGTATTAGGCGTAATATTGTCTCTGAACTCAGGTGAGGTCATAGCTCCTGCCACTCTGAGCGTGGAGGCAGGTCGTCCCCTCCTGCTGAGCTGTAACGTCACCACGGCGACAGGCGACACCGTCCGGCAAGTGCGCTGGCACAACAAGCACAACAAGATCCTCCTGGCGTACGAGCAAAGCGCCCCGGCCCGCATCAGCCACCAAGACCCCAACGTGCAGCTCACTGTCGCCCACAACGACGCCAGCTACATGACCATCAAGAAGGTGCAGCCCGATGATGAGGGCTGTTACCTCTGCATCTTCGATGTGTTCCCCACAGGCCAGCAAATGGGCAAGACGTGCGTCAGCGTCACTGGTCAGTCTGGTTTCCAAATGTCTAAAAACTACTACCACCATCAGAGAGCACAGTTGTTTCTCAGCTAAAAACAAATAACTTTATTTATATTTTAAGATCATGGGTCCTTTAATAATACGCTGCAGGATAATAAGTCAATTTCGTGTTTGTTTTGGGGTTTTGGTTTCTAGCTTCTGTAATCTTAAAGAACAAGTTATCTTCACTATCTCACACCTAACATATGAACTTTTGTAGTTTTTTTTCCACAAAGACAAAGCCTCTTTTTTGTGAGAGTGTTTGTTTTTCCCACTTAGACCCCCCTGCGAGACAGGAAGTCGTCAGCTAAGGTCTGAACTCCCAGACCTGCAGGGGAGAAAGCCCACCCAGCTGGCCTTGGCACTTCCTGTTGTTACCGTTAAATGTGCACATACACTTTTTATTTGCTACCAGACTGCTCCTGTTAGCTCCATAGTCCTGTAAATCTTTCACTGAACATTCTGATGTCAGCAGAAATAAATACAGCAAACATACAGTCACATAAACACACGGACCTCACTCACTTTCTTGATACTTTTATTAGTATTAATAACAGCACTTCCTCTGTCCCAGGTAAAGTGCGCCTGGAGGGCAACAAGACGGCCGTGAGCGGGCAGCCGGTCACCCTGTCCTGCTGGTACAGCCTCCCAGAGAGGGTGCACCAGGTGCTGTGGAGGAAGACGGCCGAGCAGGGCGACACCACCACCGTGGCATCCTACAGCACACCCAAGCACCACTTCATGGCGGACCATTTCAAGGGTCGGGTTGGCTTGAGCCAAAGCCTGGGCGACACCCAGCTGACCATCCAGACAGTGACGACGGAGGACGAGGCCTGCTACACCTGCGAGTTCCACACATACCCAGACGGCGCCAAAAGCGCCACCGCCTGCCTCTCTGTTTATGGTGAGTACCTGGGTGCTGTCCTCAGTTGCTTGTTTGAAACATATTAACAAAGGATCAGTGAAGCAGAGGTAGAGATATCTTGTCTTTTGGTCTTTTTATATACATACAACCTTCTGAAAACACACCTTTAGCCTTCCCTTTTTATAGACACACCCAGGTGACACAGTTGCAACTTAATTATTGACTATTTTGGAAATAGCTACTTATGACTAATGTCAGGTATTTCCAGACATTGTTCTGAACAGGTCGGGTTAAAGACAGAACAACACTGAGACGTTTCCGTTCGTTCCGCTACTTCTCGCTGTCATTTAATGGGGAAAGAATTCTAGCAGCTGAAAGACAACAACAGACACACTACCAAAGCTTTTCAAGGTGGAACTTCAATATAAATTACCATTATTTTATTGTTTAATAGAGAGTTTAATAGACTTGTATTGCGTTTTATTGTGCGTACGACTTTGGGATTATATTTTAAGCAATCCCAAACTTGACTGTACTGGAGATCCACTGTAGGCTGAGAGGAAATATATGTGTGTGTGTGTCTGTGTCCCAGATATAGCTCAGGAAAGGGAAGTGCTGTGTATAAACACAGCCCTGAGGTGAGAGTTGCTCCAGTCATTAAACTACTGCTCTGACCCACTTTGAAGGCAGATGCTCCGTGCCCCTCGCAACACTTAACCCCATCCTGCGCCCACTGCGCCAGAGAGGTTTAAACCACAGTGTGAAAAAGTGTAACCTCTCTTAAGTCATAAGCAAACGTTACAGGAGTGTGAGTGGTTGTTGATCTTCCTTCGTGTATGTGTGTGTAGAGATAATGTTGACAGAGGGAGGGGTGTCACTGAGGGCAAAGGAGTGATTAATTTGGGAGAAAGCCCAGGGGATGAGTGGCTCACTGTTTCCCCAGATACAAGGCCCTCAGTGTTTGTGCGTGTGTGTCCTTCTCTTTGCTCTGTTAAACAAGCTTTTGTCTTAAACAGACGGAACCAGAGATCCAGACACACACACACACACAGCACAGAGTTAGTAAAAGCTGCTTTGCCTCTGTTCTGTTTGCCGGCCTGTTGGAGGACAACTTGTGTCACTGTGTTCTCGAGGCAGATAGATTGACAGGCTCCATCTCTCCATCTCCATTTTGAAGGCAGAGGAACAAATCTCTGCTGTCTGTTTCCTGTGGTTGCTCAGACAAAATGCAAAATGACACATAAACACAATCTCCCTTTCATCAGTTTTACCCAAACCAGAGGTGAGCCATGCAACCTCGCCCTCGGGAGTCACCGAGGCCAACTGCACCGCTCAGTCCCGGCCTGCGGCGGAGATCATGTGGAACGTCGGCGGGGACAACCGAACGCTCGGGCCGCCCGTTTCTTCTTCCTACGAGCAGGGCGATGGGACGACGATAGTGACGAGTACGCTGCTCTTCCAATCAGGGCTGCTCAGTGACCTGTCCGTCAAGTGCATCGTGCACCACCAGGGTCTGAAGAAACCCCTGACGGTGTCCCTCAACGCACACGGTGAGGAGCTGGTTAGGTGTTTATGATCGACCAATCAAGCTATTCTGGTTAAATATGTACATTAATGTAAATTTATCCACAGCTTACACTACTGATAAAGAGTATTTATTAGTGATCCTCATACATAATGACGAAATAAGTAAGTATGCTACAATTACTCCAATACTAAAGTTAAGTACAGCTTTGAGGTACTTGTACTTGAGTATTTTAATTTTATGGTCCTATATATGACTATCTCTAGATGGTTTTAAGGTCCAGCGTGTAGGATTTAATCGCATCTAGTGGTGTAGTTGCAGATTACAACGCTCTCACCTCACCCTCCCCCTCCAAGCAAAAGATATGCTGGCCCAGAAACTCGCAAAAAACACACTGGACCTTTAAATTAAATAACCGTTTATGGTAAAAGTATGCAATATTTTACAAAAATGGGGGAACATTTAAGGAAACCAGCAGTGTAGCAGAACTTAATTTTTTCTTCTATCCCATTTATCATCTCATGACTGCTCAGATTTATCTTGTGAACCTTCAGAGGGGTCCGACCCCTAGTTGGAAATAGCTCTATCTGAACCAGTTTTGAATGCTGGAAGCAAAGCCTCTGCAGGCTCACACAGTAAGGGAAAACCTGTGGAGGTGATCCCTACAGCACAACAAACGCTGTAAGCCTCTGACAACATGTTGAACTGATAAAATCCAAATAACATTATGCACAATAAAGGCTCTCAAAATGCTGCCAGAATGTGTAAAAACCAGTTGTCCTTCCCATCATTGTGTGCTGAGGTACAATAGAAAGAAGGCTTTTGTTTTCCACATGTGTGTATTCTCAGCTATTTTCATCACGGGTAATTGTGGCTGCTTTGATGGGGTCCTGAAACCTGTAATGTCGCAGCATACGAGAAGGATTATTTTTCTCGTACCACATCACCTAACATGTTTAGTCCAGATGTCACGAACGTACACGCTGTAATTTTAAAACATAAACAGTGATTTGGTGTAAATGTGTGTGTTTGTGTGCTGTAGTGGGTCCAGCCATGGTCATCCTCCTCTCAGTGTGTGGTGTGGCAGCGGTGCTCCTCCTGTGTCTGTGTGTGTGTCTCTGCAAGTGCTTCATCTGCACCGACGGTGAGTTCCAACTCTGCACCTTCACATCACACAAAAGCACCACGTTTACCCTTTCAAGCCACCTTGACTTATCTTCGAAAATGTATTTAGGTTTGTTGTTGTTTTTGTTGAGGTGTCGTTTAATTACAGCTTGATTGCATCCAACTAAAACAGGAAGCAGTGCTGGTGAAATATCAGTGTTCGCTTGCAGCTGTATGCAGTGAGGGCATGCCTTTGCTATGGTGGTTTTCCAGAGGCATTCTGGGAAGTGCAAGGGGTGGTTGCAAAAGAGTAAATTAGAGCATGTCATCAAAAATACGTTAACTGCTGTTATGAAAGTATCTGAAGGTGGATTTCCCCTTGCAGATTTCAGTGGCACAGCTTATTCAGGAAAACGTGGGTGAAGAAAGTGAAAAAGAAGCACTTTGAGAAATTCCTAATGTTGATCCTAAATGCTTCAGAGTTCAGCAGAAGACGGGTGTTTTTACTGAGCAGCTCTCAGGAGTGACTGTAACTGTGACTGTAAGAACAACAGGAACTGAGAAAACAGGCTGGGTGTTTTAATATAATACAGTCTTTTCTATGAGCATTTTTTTATTCACAGGATCTCCATCATGGGAGAAAAACACTCAGCTGATATGTAGTGTATTGTTTATCTTGTGGCCCGCTGTGCTGGCCAACTTTTGAGTGCTTCTTGTCATTGTCATGCTTATGGTGAACTGTTCACATTTATTCTGGTTGCATAAACAGAAAACATCCTTGGATTTTATGAGCTGACAAGCCGACCTCAGAGAAGCTGAGCAAAGACAATCCTGCATCTGTGTCACAGAGGATTGTCGTTCAACTCTACGGAGCTCTATAGCGTCTTTCAGCTCACTGTTTTGGTTTTCCAGTCCCTGCCCTTTTCCAAGTAATTTCCAATGACAATTTTCCAGATAGTCCTATGTAACAACCCATCTGGCGCTCCCAGCTAATCAAATACATAATGTTTTGTATTGTTTGTATTCTCAATCCCAAAAACAATTTGGAAAATTGAGAATATGTCAAATTAAAAAGTTGTAATTGTGGGAGCGCCTTAGCCAAATGATTACAGAACATGCTGCATGTCCACATGGTCGCAACTGTTCTGCCAATTCTAATACAGCCGACTGTATGCTGGGTGTGTCAGGCCCTAACGCCGTCAGTACACCACAGTCATACAATCATTGGCAGTGTGGGGCCATTGCATCCAACAAGGCCTTTTAAAACAGCCAAAAAAGACCATTTTGTCTTAACAGTTTTTTCGGCAAGAAGAGGAAGTGCATTTGGCGTAGGTGCATGTTGAAAAAGTGAGTAAGAACAAGAACATCATCACCATGAAATGCCTCACATTTCTCTGAAAGCACACGCTAAAGGTCATCTCACAGGGCTCACAGCTACTTTCCACACTTAAGTGTCAGGGTGGATGCTTGGTCATGTGTCATCAACACTCCCTTTGACTCCTGTTAACACCTTTTCGCACAATCCTCTCTGGGTGTCACGGAAACAGTGCGATGCCAGCGTAATGTGGCGTATGTGCCGCTGCCCACTTCCCCTTTATCAGAAACGTTCTGCCCACCGAGGAGAAGGCAGGGAAAACCAAACTTACTGCGGCATTGACAGAAGCTTTGGCTGACGTTGGTGCTTCTGCCGGCCAAACAAAAGTCATGGCCGTAAAGGAAGAAAAACAAAAGTGGGAACTGATGTCTCAAGGTCGGGACGGTCCCACGACTGCTCTCGATTTAGCAACGTACGATTTAACTTTAATATGGGCTTTTGTATCAAGCAAGAGAAAGAGAAATCCCAATGAATATAGTTTATATTTGATATAACTGACCCACCTTTAAAGGGTTCCTAGAACAATGCAATTCCTAAAACCTCAATCAGAAGATTCATGAGTTTCCTTTTTCCTTCGGCTCCTCCTCGTCCTTGTTTTTCTTGTGCGATAAGAAAGCAGAGGGCACGTACGGCCACTTTCCTAACGTCCTAAAGATGGAAACCCAGCGACACATCGCTTTAATTTCTACATTCCTCGTCACCTCAAGTTCCAAAACCAACATACGCCCACATGGGTCGCACACAACAAAGGCCTTAATCATACTGTTGATGTAAGTGTGTTTGTGTTCTTTCTCACATCCCTAACTCATGAGCCTTGACACTCTCAATAACTGTATGTGATTGATAGTGTTGTGCTGGACAAGATCTTGCTCAAGTGTCCAGGATTCAGCGTGGGATATCTTGAAGAGATTGCAGCTGGCTCGCTGCAGAAATAGATTTTTCTCAGGACAAAAAAAAAAGCTCCCTGCTTGCTTGAGACTTTCCACATTTCTTGAAGGTTTTTACCCAAGTTTCTTCGCTTTCCAACTCCGTGGATCCTGAGCAGAATAACAAGTGGCTTTGCTGATTGTCTTGAGTTAGCGGCCCGAAGAAAAGACCCTCTTTCTCTGTGTCTAATCCTGTGGACTGTGGATGAAGACAGACATTTGGGGCCCGGAGGAGGGAGCAGCAGTGAGTCCCAAGTTGAAAGCTTGCCCAGTTGATAACAACACTCAACTGTACAGACACACACGTTCTGTAGTTCCCAGTCTTGGCTTGGCTGAGATGTGCCGGGAACACAGGCTTTTACTGTGATGTGATTCAGATTGCAGTCAAAGGGGAGAGAGCTGTGATGCAAAGTGTCTCAAGTCCTTATTTGGAGCTGACCTGATTCCTATGTCATATGTTTTCTTTTTTAATCACACTCAGCTTGCAGAGACCATTTTGTGAATATTATCACACACTCTTTTCTCACAGGATATGTGTGATCCAATCTGTATTAACCACAATATTAACTTTAAATTTAACACTAATGCAATGGCTGGTGATGCACAATGAATAAAGGAAGTCATATATTGTCACTGTGATTCAAGCCATGAGATAGTAGTATAATCTTAAAACTTACTACCGAAGAGTAATCCCTATGAAAACCCTTAAAAGCCCCTAAAAACATGCTTATTTCCTGCAACATTAAACATTTGTGACAAAATCAGAAGCAATCTTAGTTCAAATTTGAGGGGAGGAATCAGTATTTATTGTTATTTATTAAAACTAACTTCTTTCATTGTTTTGTGTTCTTATAACAGTGGTTCCCAACCTGGGGGTCAGGACCCCCTCTAGGGGTCACCAAAGCTTCATGAAGGAATGTGAGGCCTCCTGATTTTAAGACGCACTAGAAAACTGAAAACATACACAGACACAAAGGAAAATGTAAAGTAAATTGTCTAATATAAAGAAAATATGAAAACACTGAATTTGTCCAAAAAGAAGCCTATTAAGTCTGTATAAGTGTTAATAATGATTTAAAAAAACTACAATACAGACACAGAATTGTATAAAAAGTTCCCTAAACAGGAAATAATCTGCTAAAAATTCATCCAGAACACTCATTTTACACAAACTTCTTGGGTTTGTTCTACAGTTTTAGATATGAAATATCTATAAAATATGTCACTTAAGCGGGAGTGGTCAGTTTACTAAATGATAAAAAAAAGGGTCCCTTGAGGTAAAATGTGGGAACCACTGTCATGTAGGACTTGTAATGAAGTGGTGGAACAAACCTCATAGCTAAATATCTAAAAAAACGTTGCAAATACTGTAAAACCAAAACAATCTGCATGGCTTAGAAACCACTAAGAGGGAAAACATGATATTTTTTTGTAATTTGAGTAAATCACACTCTTAAAAACTGAATCTCCTCGAGCAGCTGTCTGAAAGTAAATCTACGTTGACAAATATTTATAGTGCGTCTGAGATGAAACCCACTGTGGATGGCCTGCAAAAGCTGTGATGTCTGTGGGTGAAGTCGAACCGCAAGCCGGCCACAGAGGCTTTTGTGGCTCTTTCTGAATCGGTGGGTGTAATTCAGCCTCTGACTGCTTCAATTGTGGCTGGGAAGTTGGGGGCCAAAGCCTGAGGTTCTTCCAGTAAAATTCTGCTGGTCTATTTGTGTTCTTTTGGTGTTTGCCGGGCGGAGATGTACAGACTATAAGGTACGGCAGTGGCACAGCTACAAGCACAGGAAGTTAACCACCGATAAGACCCCGTTTTTATTTTTTATTAAAGCCGATGTTTTCAGTGGCAACCCTTCAATCTGTGGCACCACAGGAAGTGTGGGGGAGTGACCACATCCGGTCCAGCACACAAACACGGTCGACCCCTTGAATGATGAGGGCAGAACTGAGGGTTCGCATTGATCGCTCTTTAGAGATTAGAGGTGGGGAAACACAACATAAACGAAGTGAAGGGGACTCTTGCTGCTCGCTACGCTGCAAAAAATAACCTTAAACTTTAACCTTAAAAGTCTTCCAGTAATGAGCTGTTTCTCTCCGGCCTTTGCAGTGTTGATTGATTTTTTCTGTCAGCTGAGTTAACTCGTCACTCTTGCTCTAATTGGCTTTTAGGCAGCACACTCAGCTTATAGACTTTTCCTAAGTGAGCCACCTCTAAATAACTCACATTGCCACCACATGTACATTAAGGTGTGGCAGGCGTTTAATTATGACTGTGGAATTCCTGCAATGCTTTGTTATATTGTGAATGTGGTCTTTTTGGATCTGAGTGGGCGTTTTGGGGACACTGTGTGTGCATACAGACGTGTATGTGCTTGCTGTGTTTATTCTTGCATTCTTGTGTGGGATTTATATCAAGTAAATTCAACCTCTGCCCATGACGTTATGACATTTTTGCCTTGAGAAACTCTCACTGGGTGCTCCTGTTATTTTGCCACATGTTCTGTCTACTATAACTTCAAACTCTACCTCTTTGTACTATTTTATCATGGTGATAAGTCAAAAAATCATCAGAGGCCAGAGTTATGAACAAATCAATTATACCAACAAACACAAAAAACATTTTTATTATTGCTAACCAACATTACCAGAGTGAAATATATATTAATTTAAATATATTGGATGGATTGCAAATTCAACATTGGTCACTCCATATGTGTGTGACCAGGTAAGCCACCATTGTTTTTGTTTAATATGTTACACCCTTAAAACACCTATAATTGATTAACAGACTAAATACAACCACTTTACACCCAGATTATGAGCTGTTTAACGAGCAAAAAGTGGATTTGGACGAGCCTTGAATGCATCTGCACCGTGCACTATAGAGCTTTTAAATAGGGCCTTATAACTTTGTACTTTTTCAACAAATCTATAATACGAGCAGTGGCATCATATTTTTAGGACTTGACTTTGCTTTCATTATGATAAAACATCTTCAACATCGTCAGGTTGTACAAAACTTTGTGCTATTTAATTACAGAACTTGTAGCCTAACATCAATCAAAGAGAACGTATCCATAAACTGCGTAGTTATGAGAAGAAAAGGTTAACCTCATTTGTTTTTGGTTGAATGCATCAATCATCAGTCCACACTCTGAACACATTAAAATATCAGCTGTAATTTAGTAGAGAGAATATTGGTGTTCGTGTTCTCATCACTTAATGAATAATGGCTTCCCGAAAGCCCGATGTCCTCCTGTGAGACTCCCAGTCATCGACCTTTATCTGGTGAAATCAGGAAAAGGAGTGTCGGAGCCTGACAGGACACGCAGACTGCTGAGGAAGGATTGGATCTGCGTGATTAATGCAAAATGGGAAAAATGAAACGTTGTGGAAAGTTTCTTGGGACAAAAGCTGACCAACTAACTGTGTCTGTCCATCTCTCTCTCTCTCTCTCTCTCACTTTCTCTCTCTCTCTCTCTTTCTGTCCAGACTGATTTGGGAGGCCGGCGTCACTGCTGCTTTGATGAAGGTCCAGCGGATCTCTGAGCCTGACCTAGCTGCTCAGCACCGTGCCCTCCAGCTCAGCGTGCAGAGGAAAGGGAACAGAGATTTTTCACAGAACTGAGCCAACACTGCTGGTTCTGCTCCCATGAGCTGTGAAGATACAGACAAACATTTCTCTTGTCATTTACAGTAAAGTAAACAGAACTAAAACCACATTATTTAATGCTAGATACTACACTTACAGTAGAAACGTTGCTTTGATGATTGATCCTGATATGAAGATATGAAGATCACGGAGGTCCGGTAGTCGGACTAAAGTGATGCTTTGTAACCTAAAAAGGTCATTACAGTGTGTCTGTGTGTTGAACAGATAAGTTTTATATATATATATATATATATATATATATATGTGTGTGTGTATTTTAAATTAAGGTTGAGTAGAGTTTGCTCAGTTTGAAGTGTTTCGACTTTGATGGGTAGTTTATAAAGAAAAATGACTAATAAAAACTAATGTAATCCAAATTTAAATAAATCAATACATCACTTATAAGTGGGGGAATCAATTAGTTCCCATTCAAAAACAACACAAAGGTTACCGTCCTTTTTCAAACGATAACAAAAGATGAAGTTTTGTGTGATCATGGGAGTTTTCATTGACGTGTTTACCCGGTAGTTAGAGAAAACTCACCATTACCTGAACAAACTGACAGATTTCTCTGAGTTTGAACAATGTTGGAAACATTTGGGCATAACTACACAACTCATCTAAAATATGTAACATAAGTCTAGTCATTTTAATGTTGAGAAGTTACGTGTTGTCGACCGTGATTGTTGCTCGGACATATATGACAGCCCCTGACACACCGAAATTTAATCTAATAACCAAAACTGTTTTAAGTTTGGCAGAAAATTGTATCATCATGTAAGACGTTATCGCCCACAGCTGATTTCTGGTCCTTCAAGGTGGCTGAAAATTTAAAGACTCATCCGCTGTCCTTTTGCCACTGCTCCCTAATTGCTGTGGGCATCTAAAATTGCCACCTTGGGGTATTACGTCACCTGAAAACCCTCTATTTGTGGTAGTCAAACCAAGAAGAGGGATGATTAAAAGGGTGCCCATTTTAAACGAGACCTACAAGTTACAGTAAATCGGGGGATTGAGGCTAAAACCTGACTTTTTAGTGAACCAGCCCTGATGTGACTCAGACTGAAAGGTTGGTTTGGGTGGGAAAGAATGAAAGGTTTGTTATTTATAGCTGCTGTGTTGTGTGGTTGACCTGTGACCTGTGTGCTCGGTGTTTAACACCGCCCAAACGATTCCAGCGTGGATGAAACGCTGCAGCTGTGAATCACTGTTTGTGTGAGACGGAGTATGTGGGGTTGTTTGTGTACATCTGCATGTCTGTGTTTTAAATGTGAAAGAAATGTGTCCATATGTGTGTGTGTGTGTGTGTGTGTGTGCAGTTGTTTGCATTGTTGTACAGTGTTTGAACTTTAGGGCGCACCAGCAGAGTTTTGTTTGGGATATATATTAATATAGGCCTGTGTGGGCTGTGTACAGTAAGGTTTTGTAGAAAATCTCATTTATAAGAAAAAACATATATTCTATTAACAATTAAACTCAAAATCTTGTTACAGTGAAGTTATCTGTATATAAAGGCGATCATAAGGTTTAAATGTTAATAAATGCTTACATTGAAGTAAAACAACATAGCTAAGTTATCTATCTGCTGTTGACTTTCTATTTCAGTTTAATAATCATGTTTTCAGTGTTACAGTGTTTTGTCTTTTGATCAGTATTCACCTTTTTAGTGTCTGTAAGAGTCAATAAACAGTTTCCAGTCTGCTGCTGAGAACATAAATCTCAAGTTAAAAGTGGATCAGAAATAAAAACCTGAGGATTTATCTGTTTTTTGTTTCGCTGTTTATTTTTACTGTCTGTGTTTTGATATTGAGTAAGAACATCACAAATTATACCTCACATTTGTAACTGAAGTCTCCAAACTGGCTCAGATTTTTTTTAAATTGTTGGGTTTTGGTGTATGAAGACTGTGGGTGGTACAGTAACCTCAACAAAAACCGTTACCCAATAGGAAACTCATTTCCTCAGCTGCCCACTCCAGTGACTGTACTGTTTCACTCTCAGACCCTGCGAGTGGCATAACTCCATCTTGGTGCCTTTTTTTAAATGATCTGTAACTAACCAATGCAAATATTTAAGGCTTAAAATGAACACGCATCCAATTCCACAATTGTTGTTTTTAGGTACGCTGGTATCTGAGTGAGTCAGTTGAGTTTCACACCTAAATAATCATTTTAAGAACACTGAAAAATAATTGTTGGCATGATATTAAAGCCTTAAGTCTGCAGCAGGAAACTGCTTTTAAAGTTCCTTAAAATGATTTTAGAAAGCGTAAAGATTGTGAAGTGCTGTTAATTCAGCTAATTTTAAAAAATTTGTTTGCTCCTGGACATTAATTCAGAGAACATATAAACTAGTGGAAGTTGAACAGTTACTAAAAATAATAGAAAAAATATTTTGAAATAGCAAGCCAAAGATACAGGACAAACACTGATAAAAGTAATGGATAAATAGTCCAAATATTATAGTTAAACACAATAAACGGTTGAAATAGTTAGCTAAAAGTAGACTGATGGGGAAAAAACACTGCTACACATAAGCTCATAGGTAACAGTTCAAAGAGTCAACTAAAAGTAATTCTATTCTTGAGTTTATCGATGGTAAAAAGTTTCAGAACCATTAAAGTCACTATCAAATACTTTAATTCTGTGACGGTGGATTACTTAAGGAACTCGCAGTGCTCCTGTTTTCATCTGATATTGTATTAATGTTTTAGAAATGAGCTCTGCAGTCTGAATTAAACCATTGTACCATTTTCTCCAAACGTGTAAATAAAGACGTGTTTTTTCTCGCAGTTTCCACAAACCTCACAAAGACAGGAAAGGGTAAGTAGTTCCTTTTGTGACTCAGAGGCACTTTGGTATTTGACAGCTTTATTTTGATTGTTATTATTCCACTGATAGCAAATAATTATGACTATTAATAAAAACATGGAGGCTTATCTGGAGGAAACTGTGTTAACCTTAAGAGGACTTCACAATAAAGTAGTGTTTGTTTTCTGTCCCTTTGTGGCTTTTAATGTTTATGGAGTCACACTTGTAGGAAGTAATGATTCCAGTAATCACTCACCTTCCTTTTAAAAGATTTTTACAGCCTTATACCACCAAGTTAAGAAGATATCATCTCCCCTGAATGAAGCCTTCTCACCACTAGATGGCGACCTTGTTAAATGTTCCTTAGAGTAAAAAGCTCACAAATTTTTCCCTTGTCCCATCCACCATTAATTCATACTTTTTCTCACAATTCCTGCATTTGCACTGCAGCTAAATAATAATATATAATAATAATGAAGGAATTAACCTGTCTGTGAAAGGTGTTGACACTGAATAACAGCTGAAAACAGACACACAACAGTTTCTGTACCTTCCTGTGTTAAACTCTCAAGGGAGCAATGAGCTTCTCTACCTCCATGTGTCACATTGTGGCTGGTGGGCGATGCAGCGTTGATGTGTTGATGTTGGGTGGGGTGCAAGTGTGTGTGTGTGTGTGTGTGTGTGTGAGAGAGAGAGAGTTAGTGGCTGTGCCAGATTGTGCAGACATGAATGCAGCAAATGTACGTCAGCTTGTAGCACTTTCAAAACCACAGAGGTAGCACATCCCACGGGCCACGGTGCTCCACGTGTTTTCATGCAGCCCATGCACTCTACAGTCCAACTCCCCACTATCACCGCTCTCGCTCTCCACGCAGTCTTGCACATCGCAGTCTTTCGGCCATTTAACTAGCTGCAAACTACTTCCCTTTTGACACACGTCAAAGCCTTATCAAACAATCAGTGTGGTTACCTCACCTTTGTTGCCACAAAATCACAAGTTCACTTTCGTGTTAGTTATAAATATTAGTGTAATGGTATGTATGTGTTCAGAGAGGATGAATCCAGGTATCTTGTTATGTTCTGTTTTGCTTTGCTTTGTTCTTTTATGCTAATTTTAATCCACTCCACAAATAATGTTTTATTGTCTCTAACAATAATTCTTTGACGCGGTTCCTGTTGTAGAAATAAAATGGTTCAGTTTTAGTTCAGTTTGGCTGGTTTCTGTCTGAACTGAAAGGTGTCGTTTCCTGCATTCAGGGTGGGACAGTGCAGGAGCCTGTTATGAACTAAAATAGAACAATAATTTCCCCCCAATCTGCTCTCAGAGTGGAACTCAACCATTTTAGTGTGCAAAACTGTAATTTACATATAATGTGTGCAAAAGTGAAGATGCACAATCCAAAGTGTAGGCCTATGTGTGCTTCCAATATTAAAATGGCTATTTTTAAATTCAGAGTCACTGGGTTGTTGTTTTTTTGTGCTCATGTTAGTCAATAATGTGATTTTTTGTTTTAACTTTTGCTTTTCAGTTTGCCTATAATGTCAGCTAAGCTATCTTTTATTTTTGTTTTAGGCCAAACACGTGAAAGGCTTTGCTAAATGAGCTCACTAGTAAACTAATAACTTGCCTGGTTGTTATTTATCTTCCCACCAAATTCCTCAGTAAACATTAAAGATGTTATTTTCATGTTGTTGTCGTTTTTCATCCATGCTATAAAGGCAGCGGAGGTCAGTTTTCACCACTTTGTTCCAGACTGAAATATCTCGACATCTTTCAGAAGGATTTCCATGAAACATTCATATTCCACAGAGGATGAATCTGAATAATGAACATTTACAATCCTCAGTTTGTGTTTGGTTCTAATTAGGAAACGTTAGCATGTTAGCACACTAAACTAAGATGTTGTATGTCTTCTAGTCCTGTTTTTTATATATTTGCTAACCATGTGGTCAGCTAACTATCACCCTTGTTAATTATCACTCTTGTTATAGGTTTAACATGTTGATAGCTTTGTTTAATAAGCCTGCAAGTAAGCTAATATCTCACAAACTCCTGCTGAATGTTTTATTGAGTTATAAATGATTCTTTCAACAGGTAAAATCTGAGCTGGAGTCTCAAAATGAGCACAGAGGTAAGTTTATGATTTATATCCTTTAACTGTAGCACAGCTTCCAGTCTCTGACTTTACATTTGTTCATGTGACGTGTGGTTTTAATTCTGCTTCCTGTTCGTCAGTCGACAGTCTGTCTGCTCCCAAAGTGCACAACCGATATTGTACCCAAGAAGAGAAGCTGCTTCAATCGACATCAAAAGGAAAACACAAAGAACAAGAGGTTTGCAAACACAAACACACACACCAGCACAGATAAACAGACATCACATCACTTTTAAAAAGAAATATCTGCACCGGATGTGCGCACAAAGATTGATACCTGTACAGGAAGCAAAACTGTTCACCTGTGAATGTGTTACATTCTGCACACACACACACAGCTTCGGTAGAACAATAGTGGTTTCTCACATAAGAAATTTCACTTCTGTATCGTTGCATTTTAATTTACAGGAATTCAAAACAGAGAGGCACAGAGAGAGGGGATGACACGCAGCAAAGGGCCACAGGTCGGATTCGAACACTGGCCGCTGCAGCAATTCCGTACATGGGTCGCCATGGGTATTTGGGTATTTATTTGTTTCTTGTCAGATTAGACATTCAGCAGGAAGTCTGCCGAGTGCCGGTGCTGCTGAACAACTACTCTAAGTCTCACCTTTACAGCCGTATTTTGATGTAGCCCATATAATTATCAATATGATGAGAAACACCATGACTGCAGCCAGACGGTACACATACGGCAGGAGGACGTCCTGAACTGTTGGGCTAGGGGTGGTAGATGTCACTGCAAGATAAAAGAGGACATTGGACTTTAAAGTAATGCAATGACATCAGAACGTAGTGCTGCATTAGTTAATTTATTATTCAGTGGCAGTTAGCTGTGTAAGCTGAACAACGTGAGCAGGTTTCTTAGATCAGTGCAGTACAGATTAAATTACTGAAAAACACTCACCAATGACAGAGACGTTGATGGTGTGTCCCATACTGAGACCACTTCGACACCGATACACACCTGAGTCGCTCAT